ACCCAGGATTGTCGGAGGCAGAAGCGAGTAGAGAAACTGAGGCTGGCAAGGAGGAGGATTTCTCCCTGCTTCCCTTCCTTTCTCTTGGCCTCTCAGGGCTGGGAGACAGCTGGCCGGTCAGTTTGTCCATCCAGCTTTATAGGGTTGCAGGTCTCCAAGAAACTCATTATGTTTTTTTTGCAGTAAAGCGGGGTGGGGGGGGGGAGGAGATTGAAAATAGAATTTCCTGGATTTCTCAAAGTTGAGATTTCTCAGTGCCCAGGACTGACTCTAATGTCTTCTTTTTCTATTTGTTTGCTTTAAGAATCAGTAGTGGTCCAGGACTTGTTCTGACCCAGCCGGGTTCCCAGAGAGCAAACACAGATAAACTCAGTAACTCAAACTTTCATGACTTTAATCTACAAATTAAACCCCTTTGTAGATAACGGATGGCTTGCAGCCAATTAGTCCAATTAGAGAAATAAACCGGAGTCTTTAATCACAAAGCGGAGTCCTTCGAACGTTTTTGCCTTTTGCAAAGGCAAAAACTGTTTGAAACCAGGCTTATATTCCCTGGAGGGAGGGGCCATTATGTTGCATCCTTACTCCTGAGTCATCTGTGCAGCTTCAGCTGTTCTCTTCTACGAATCATCCTGCACTCACGTGCACTTGGCACAGGCTCCTCGGGAACCTCCTCGTCACTGCTGCCAGCCCCCACCATCCTTGAAGGCAGCAGTCCACTCCTTGATGGTCCCGGCCCCTCCTCTGAGTCCTCGCTCTCCTCCACCATCCACAGCTGCTGCTGGCTAACCATAACAGGATATCTAAAATGCCAGGTTAGAGGACCTACCCTCTGCTAAACTTGAATCCTGATCTGCTCACACAGAGGAACCTGAGTAAATCTCTTACCTGTAAATCCTCTTTTAATGACCCCATAATCCCTTGCAGGGTGGTGTCTGGTCAACTGAATGGTGCTGAGTGTTTACTGTCCGGATGTCCTTCCTGTTGCCAATGAGGAGTTTTATTCTCATTGTGCTCAGAGAGAGAAATATCTGCCTCTACCTAGGATCAAACTCACACCCTCCGGATTGTGAGGCGAGAGCTCCAGCTCTAGGCCACCGCCCCGTTCAAATCTCTTACCTGTAAATGCAGCTGAATAAATCTTCCACATAAGCTTCTTAGTCTCTTTCTTGCCTTTTATTAGCCTTGAATAATAAAGTTTTCAATGTCATGGAAATACTGGAAGATAACACCACAACATTTTCCAGTGCATATAGAACAAACTTAAAATTCATCTGGAGATTGGAGCAACAGATAAATTTGAGGACTAGATCTTGGTTCATTAATTTATTCAAATTACAGAAGAAGTCTTTGTATGAAAAATAAATGGGGGGGGGTGTCATAAGAGACCTTCATTTCCTGTACAATTCAAGTGTGCTAATAACAACTGAAAAGTCACAACCCAAGTCTAAAGGTTATACAATGTCCCTCTCTTGACAACAGGTAGATTGAAGGCCACCTAGCAACGCTTTGGATATTGCCAATTTTATATATCTATATCTATACATCTATCTATCTATCTATCTATCTATCTATCTATCTATCTATCTATCTATCTATCTATCATCTATTTATGTATCTATCAATCTATCGAGATTCTCTCTCCATCCATCTCTCCATCCATCTAGCATATGCACCAAGACAAATTCATTGCGTGTCTATTCACATTCATTCATTCATTCATTTAACTTGATATTGGTTTATAATGTCATGGAAATGGTGGAAGGGGAGATGACACAACAACGCTATTCCATCCATATTTATTCACATGGAACAACCTAAAAATGCATGTGGAGATTGGAACAATAGATATACTTGAGGACTAGAGAGTTGGGTTCATTAATTTGTTCAAATCACGGAACAAATTCTCGCATAAAAAATCAAGGGTGTCATAAGGAACCTTCAACCTTCATTTCCTGTATAGAAGAGAAGACGATTCAACTGTGCTGAAAACAACCCTACGATCCCCGACTGTGACCAACCAAATACAACACAATTGTCCTGTACAATCCAGATCTGAAGATTAGGATAAAAGAGACAGCAGTTTAAACAAACATTCCCATTTTGGGCAAATGAAGATGACAAAATTGGTGGGTGCAGGGTTACAAGTGACATCCTGCAGATTTTGAGACCCATGTACACAGACACACAGACAAACACACCTGTAGACACTCGTGATGCACAGGTGCTAGGAACAGAAGCAGGGAGCACAACAAGACCTCCGACTCTGCCACGAGATTACGCTAAAGGGAACATTGGATGAAAGGGACATGATTTTAATGAAACCAAATGAAGGTGCATAGAGGTGTGTCAGGATAGAGTTGCAGGGTCCAATCTGGGTCGGAATTTTCAATAGATTTGCACCAACAGAAATGACGTCAAAGCAGTGACGTGTGCTAAAATGTACTGCTTTGTACTTACATAATTATTAATACAAATTATAGATAGCAAACAGGCGCCCACCTTTTTCCTCTTTAAAATATATTCTCTCATGATTTAACCGATATGCTGAATATACAAAGAGGGAATCTGAATTGGAAGAAGAGGAGCACGATTTTAAAGAATTGGGCCATCTCGCTCCTGGGACGGATCCCTTGTTCCTCCAGAAATCCCACGGAGCGGCAAATACGGCATTACACACACTGCACCTTTTGGGGACGGGCTACCCAAGGGAAGGAAATAGGAATAGGAAGTCAGTCAGAAGGAAACCAATGGGGTGAGCCATCTCTCAGTATAATTTTGGGAAGTTCTTGACTTTTTTTCCTTGGATTGCGCTCATATCTTTGGCGCCATATTCAGTGGGAGTTTGATATCCACTTTCAATAAAGGTTTCCCAGTGCAGTTTGGGATAGAAGCAGGTTTTTAATCCTATTCCCTCATCCTATCAGAACACATCAAAAGTTTGGCAGGGGGACTCATGAGGGGGGGGGGGGAGGAAAAGAAATAGGCATCACAAAACAGGAAACCAAAGATGCGGCTGAACCGCCTTGCGTTATTTCTCTGGGGCCAAGAAGACCGCTTGGGCCCCTTTTAAAGGTTAGCAGGGATATCCCCTCCTTGGGGGGGGGGTGTCCCTGCTTTTGAGCCCCAAGTATTTTCCTTAGGAAGGACCCTGAGGTCAGCAGGGTATAGGCGGGGCTCCACCTCTCAATCCACTCAGGATGGGACTCGGGGCTAAACTAGAGGATGCCCTCAGCCGCCCTGCTTCCTTCCAAGGACGTTGTAAAAGGAGGGGAGAGGCTCCACTCTTTCCCACTTTTTTTCTTTCCCTTTCATCCTGGGCCAGGTGTGCTGGGGGAGGAATAGGTCTGCTTAGCCCCTCCCTGGACATTGGGGGGACCGAGATCCAGTACGGGACCAGCGAGGTTCCCTGATAGAAGCAGAAAACACGGTGCCTGACTTCTGTTCCTCTTTGGATGTGTGTTTTACAGATCAGGCGCATAACACAGAGACCCCAGAAAAGCTGAGCCCTCCGACTCCAGGCTGCCCAATCTTAATAGCCATCCCCGCTCTAGGAAGCAGCCTTCCCAATATCTCGGGAATGGCCGCCCCGGTTCTGAGCAGCCTTTGGATCCAGCCTCCTTTCCCCCATCTGCCTGCACACTTGCTCACAGGCAACGCCAGCCTGCAAAGTTTCGTGTCTCCAGGAGTGCCGCACCTCCAAAGCATCCATGGGGACCAACTGCACCTGGCCAACCTGGCAGCCTGTAACCTTCCTGTCTCTACCTTTCTTCGGCCTTTCTACGCACCTCAGCTACCTCCATACCAAACTCTTCCTGGCACAGGCACCGTACAGAAGGTCCCCAGACCCTCCTATCCCCAACATCGGCTTTCGGGTCACTCAGAGGCACAGACCACCTCTGACGTGGGCCTTCAACTCGGACAGAGGTGGCCGCTCAAAACTCCTACCAGCCAACCAGCCTCTTTGCAAGGTGAGAGCTTCTTGGGCAACCTGGAACTTTGACTCTCATCCCCAGAGTGCCATAGATTAGACCTGGCCACAGATGTTCAAAGTCTGGCCCACCCATTTACTGGAAGTAAAACCCACATTTTACTATTCAGTGTATCTGTACGCTGGTCATGTGTTATTCAACATCACTCTCACTACCATGTTCTAGATTGACCCCGTTGGGTAACAGAGTTCAAATGCACACTTGCACAAGATTGTAAACTTAACCTAAAGGGCTTTTCCCCCAAAGTTCATGAACAACATCCTATTACGAAAGAAGACATTAAACGGAATTTAACAGAAAGATCTACAGGAGATCCATAGGGAAAATGCGCAGCTCCCCGCAAGCAGAGCCAGAGAGCAAGTGGGAAGAATTAATGCAGGAGAGCAACCTCTGAGGATAACCCACAAAGAGCCTGCAGGGAAACCCATAATAAGAGAGGACATTTCTAAAACGCCCCGTTCTGACTTGGGAGATCTCTTCAGGAAAACCACGAGAGAGTAAGCAGAGTCCTTGAGCAGAGCCAGAGAGCGAGTGGGCAAGAATATGTGAGATTGTAACCCAGAGAGAAAGAGCCTGCAGGGAAAGCAAGTCTACTCTGTCAAGTGCCTTATTGAAGATTTGAACGGAGAGATAAAAACGATGCAGGGAAAACCATTTAAAGACAGAACCACCAAAGCTCTAAAATGCCTAATTCTGCCTTCCCCAGAAAGTAAAGAGAGTAAGTCCCACACCCAAGAGTGGGACAACTAATTGCTGGATGGGCTACAATCCTCAAAATGGGTAGGGCTCATCTTGGGAGAAGTTGGAGAGGAAGCTGCACCCCTGACTGTTTCAACATCCCACATTCTGCAGGAGGCTTTCAACCTCACCATACGTTGGTCTTGTTCTAGCCATGTTCTTCTAAAGCTGATCAAATACTTTCTCTTTATCACATCTCCAAAACACACACAGATTATTTACCAAGCAAATGTTTTTCTTCTGGCAGTGGCTATTCTGACAAAAATTTAACTCAGCATTTAAAAAAAAATGCACAAGGGGCAGTCTTGGTTTTTGTATAAATTGGAGGAGCACATTCCTTGCCGACCTCCGAGAGAAGTGCTACTCCTTGTGCTTCCTCCCGACCAAGAGCTCCCTGGGTCTTCCCCGAAGCCAAGATGGTAAGTAAAACGCTTTGTTTTGCATTTGCAAGAGGACCTTTAACTGACTTGGGTGTGAGAAGAGAAGGGCTGGAGAATGAAGTGGCCCCTTTGGGACAGTCACGCTCTGGCAGCAGAACCAAGAGTCGTAGCTGTGGTTATAACAATGGGAGAAATACTCTGTATGTTAACTAGGTACAATAAAAGTCAGAAATACAGAAAGAAATGAAGATCAGATGTCATCAGATGTCAACTCCAAAATAGAGATAGGACAAACAGAACTGTTTGCAAAACCAATGAACTACATTTTGGGGTGTGTGAGATAAGTTTAAAATCCAGGTGTTGCTGGTCTAATTTTGGGCCAAGGACTGAAATCAGAGTTTATTTTCTGGCAATTTAAAAGTTTTAACGGTAGAAACACAAATGCAGAAATTCACTATTTGGTATGAAGGACATATCAAGTCAGGAATAGAGAGTCAGGATTGTCACTTTCCTCCCACAAAGCATCCCAGATGGAAGAAGGTATGGAAACCATGTGCGGGAAAAGCATATCTGTGGTGGTAGATCAATTCCAATGATACCAATGGAGAGATTTGCCTCCGGGGGGGGTGGAGAACTGAAAATTATTTCACCCTGACAACTACTAGGTGGATGTTCCAGGGTGACCCTCTTGTGCAACAGGGATCGAAATGCACACTTGCACAAGATTGCAAACTTAACCCAGAGGGCTGGCTTCAAAGTTCGTGAACTTCATTGTATTATCGGAGGGGAAATTAGAAAGAATTTGAACAGCCACTTGCTGAAACAATTAGTAGGAACTCTCATGGCTTATTTTTTTTCTTTTTTCTTTCCCTTTCTCAGAAAGTCTTCTTCAGCCTGATCATTTTCTCTCTCATGCTGGCTGCATGTCAAGGAGCATGCTTTAGTGCGCCCTTTGAAGTTGAGACTGAAGATGGTAATCAAACTCTTTATACATCTGAGCAAATCATCGCTTGCAAAGGTTTAGCAATGCCAGGAGAAACGTTGTCGGCTTAATTTTGACAATCCAGGTTTTCATTAAGTTGGGCCAGGAAACACCGACTGTACTAATGCAGACGTTGTTGGATCATCAGGGATCCTTACAAATCTAAACAATCATTAAAATATTATGATATTCGGCAAATGTGGAGAATTTGTATACTTGTCACCTTTGCTCAAGAGTAGATTTCTATAAGTAGCCTCCAACTCTAGCAGGTTTCTCAATACAGCATGACAATCACACTCTCCTAGCAGAACTGAGAGTTGTGGCTCTGGTTACAATAATGGGAGAAATACTCTGTACATTACTTAGATGCCATAAAGACAGAAATGCCATTTCTGGGTTCGGTTGAAGGTTCAACTTTCAAGCCTTCCATTCTTTTTTTCTTAGGTAAACAGGTGGTGCCAAACACTTGTCTTGATAGACATGATGGGAGAAAGCATCTCATTGGGTCCACTTGGAACACAGCTCACTGTTTCAGATGCGAATGCGGCACAGATGGATTGCATTGCTGCCACAGGTTGGAAGAGGCTCCAGGCCACCTTCAGATATATTAATTTGCATGTTTTCTCTGAAGTTAAGCTACAAGCATTTATTGAGATAGCATGTATTAGAAAGAAAGAAAGAAAGAAAGAAAGAAAGAAAGAAAGAAAGAAAGAAAGAAAGAAAGAAAGAAAGA